GGACCGGAGGTATGCCAAATAGGGGGCGTGGTCTTCCTGCTGCACAGCCAAGAGGGCAGAGGGGAGTGTCCCTGAGGAAATAACATTCTCCATACATCAGACATTCTTAGAACAAGCAGTAGCATCAACTGTTTCCTAGTCGAAAAGGAATATGTACAGTTTAAAAAAGTAATTGATTGGCCTGGAAATGTTTGTCATTTTCTTCTAACAAAAACATAAATTAAAATGATGTACCACGTTACCTAATATTTATAATAATCATTTTTCTTTAATGTTGATAAGATTCAATCCCAGAAAGCACACTGAAACTCTCATTAACTGCTCCATAGGAGTGGCAATTGATTCTAACTTTTTGAAAAGCAATTTGGAAATAGACATCAAGAATTACAAACATTCATCACCTGTGGCCTAATAGTCCCAGCCCCAAGAATCCATTCTACTGAAATAATCAGATGTAGATAAAGATTATGAATAAGTCTGCTCATATCAGCACTATCTATAATAGGTAAACATTGGAAACATAAATGTCCAATACAGTAATGTTGGACATTGAAGTGAAAAAGTACATGTACAAATGGAACCCCATACATATTCAAATTGTACAAATAATATTTATAAATATTAAACAGCAAAGAACATATTGGTACATTTTCTTTAAGTTAAAGATAATTAAGTGTACTAATTCAATTGTCTAAAAATAAGAAACCAAAATTAAATCACTTAAATTAAAAAAAATATATAAATAAAATAAAGTCTGGGAGTAAACTCAACCAAGTATTAGCATGCATTGATTGAGAGGTGGGATTATGAGTAAGGTTTATCTTTATTTTACTTTTTAATATTTCTAAATTTCTTGATGTGAATATGTAATATTTTTTATAAATAAATTATTTTTAAAAACTTGAGATGAAAGAGAAAAAAGGCTAATCCTAGGATCAGAAATAAAGTCCTGTTCCTGTGTGGGCTGCCCTCAGTACTTCTTTAATCCTCCCCAAGTTTAGCTAGAACGGCTTCTCATGTAAGCTCCTCTGTGTGGTCACAGTGAAAAATCCAGGGGAAAAAAGGCAGAGTATTAACAAGGATAAAAGACACTGAGCTCTTGGATTTGTTTAACCTTCACCATGACCCTATTATGTAGGCAGGAATATCCCTGTTTTGGCCCCAGAAACTGAAGCCTAGATGATTGATTAACTTGTCCAGCTGGTGACGTGACCCAGGCAGTCCAGTGTCGCCAGCGAATCCTGCCTTCAGAACCTTCTGGAAGTCAGGGAGTGTGGGGACAGGGCTCTTGCATTTGATCTTTTGTTCCCCCTTCTCCCTTCCCAGCATTCTGAGTTTCTAAGCTTTTGATGTCAAAATGAGCTCTGTCCTTAGGGCTACCTGGGACTTTCCCGTGGGTGATAAGGCCCACATTTTTAAAAAACCAGAGGGAACACTCACAGTTGAGTATTCGTCAAGGTGGGTGTACACCGTGAAGCATCCCACAGCTTAGCCCTGGAAGAGTGGCCTCAGCCTGTCCCGAGCGCTGTGGATGGGGTATAAGAAGCAGGGGGGACCCTAGTTCTGCTCATGACCCTTTTTTTTGCGCCCTCCACACATCATGCGCCTGTTTGCCTCACTTCATCCTACATTAACCTCTGCCTTATGGAGCAGAAGTCATAGATACATACCAACAAGGACACTCAAACAGAAGATAAATCTCATGGCGGTCCAGATCTTTCCCTGTGACATGTAGAAGATCAGCATAGTATGGAACTTGCGGCTCAGTCTTCTCCTTGAGAACACCTGGGAGAGTCAGTGGCTATGGTTAGGCACAGGGGCACATGACAGCGCGGGGCGGGGGGAGAAAGAGGGTTCTAGATGGACAGCTGGAGGCCCTTCTGCTTCAGGGGGTGGGGCACTGCACCTCTCTTGGAGCCTTTAGGGAAGGAAAAAGAAGCCTAGTTCCCAGGCTTCTCAATCCAGGCCCCTCTCCCTGCTGTTCCTGGAGGCCCCTCTGACTAAAGGCAGCTCAGCTGTCTGGGAAAGGGAGCTCAGGCTCAGGACTAATATTCCGCATGGAATTTCTGAGGCCAGGACTGTGGGGGGCAGGATTCTGCACCTTAGCTCAAGAAGACAGTGTCCCCAGGTTTGCTCTGAATCCCCTCATAGTTATTTATACTCCCCCTCGGCCCCTCCCTTCTTTATTACACTGGCTTCATCTTTCCCTGTTGATCACTCTTTCATCACTCAGTCATCACCAGCTGGGGTGGGTGGTCCTGACCAACAGCCTGGAGCTAAGGAAATGTGGAAATGGGAAGCACTCACTGAGCAGTTCTGATGTTTGGAGAATGTTTGAATTCCAGATTACTTATGTTGGTGACAGTTAAGAAGGCAAGACCTCTAAGCGCTTTTTCCGTGCTATCCTGGGATGATTGAGAGCGCACGCAGGAAGAGAAAGAGCCGTCCTGCTAACAGCTGACACCCACTGAGTACTCACCGAAGGCCGTGCACCGGGCTCAGTTCTCACAGACGTTGTTAGTGATCATTTTATAGTAAGTTAGTCTAATATGATGTAAATCAGTCACACTCCATATCACTATAACCCTTTAGATTTTCTTAAACCCATAACCTCACTCCGATATCTCAACAACCCTAGAAAGGGAAGACAGGGCTGGGCTGGTATCATTTATTTTTTCCAGAGCTGTAGGTGACAGAACTGAAATGGAGAATTTGAGTAATTTTCTCAAAATCATACCTGGCTGGGAAGACTAGATGGAGAATCTAGATCTTATTAGGTATGCGCGACTTTTCAACCATTTGCATACTCACTTGCACATTTGCATACAGCCTCTAGGCTGTAGCTGATCGACCACTGTTGCGGATCTTCCCAAACTCCCCGTTCCCGCCCACAGAGTCCCCCAGGTGTGAAATGAACACCAGACATGGCGAGAACTTTGCTGACATTTCAGTGGACACAGAGGTGCATCGTGGAGTAGGGCTGGTTTATGAAACACAGGGTGGGGCAAAAGGAGGTTTACAGTTGTTCACATGGAAAATAATACAATAATTAATAAACAACAATGCAAGAATAAACTCTGTTTCACATACTCACAACCGCAAATCCACTTCTGCCCCACCCTGTATGCCGAGGTTTGAAGACAGCATGGAGTCGTGAAAGGTTTTCTGTGGTGGGTGCCAGGATTAGTTCACACAGGTAAGAAGTTGAGGAAGAGATAGGTTTACTCTACGGTTGTTTTCCCAGATCTTTGGGAAATACTGTGGGCCAGGAAGGGAGTTGGAGGCCTGGTTCAGGAGTGTGAGGGCTAAGAACAGAAAAAGCAGGGTTTCTGTCTAGGAGGAGCTCTCTAAAGACAACAGACTGTCTGCAGGAGGTTGGCACTGGGAACCACTTCGTGTCTCTGAAGTTGACATTGGCATCCAATTCCGCATCTTCGAATGCCCCTTAGAGGCCATTGCTGGCATCTTCAGGCCCCTGAAATACAGCACATTAAAATGATACCCCTCTTTCCTCCAGCCTTTCAAATGCATTCTTTTACCTGCTTTCCTTATTTTGGGAGATAAATGTGCCCTGCTTGTTAGATTCCTCTCTTTTTCTCACCACTGAATCCCAAAGTCCGTGCTCATTGGAGGGATCTCGAAAATCCACTCATGCCTTTCCATTCTCGCTGTTGCCTAGTTTCCTTCTTAAAACTCTTTGGTAGCTCCCTGCTGCCTAAAGACTAAACATTAAGCTGTGCCTTAGGGGCCTCCCCTGGACTCTCATCTCTGTCACCCTCTCTTCTCATCCCCCTGCCACCCCTTCCCACCTGCCCACCTCACATGCTTTTTTTGAGACCTACCAAAAGTGTGAGTTTTCTTGTTTTAATGCCAATACCTTTTTATATGACTTTAGCCTTTGAATTCTTCCTTTAGTTTGTCACTCTCATTTGTTGTTTTCATTTTTGTCTTTGGATACTGATAGCTGATATGGACATTGCTCTTCAAGTTTCTCTTTGAAAAAATAACTTGAGAATCTGATGGATGGATGGAGAGTGTGTGTGTAATAGTCAATTTTTCCTCATATGTTTGTAAGTGATTTACTATTAAGTTCTTTGTCTATTAATGTTATAACAGACTCTGCGTACATACGGAGACATATCAATCCCTGGTCCCATTCCACAGGATATCTCAAATTTATAGGACTCTAAATCTATTCTTGTTTCATTCTGCCATCCGATTTTCTATTTAAGTAATATTCTTGTTCTATTTTGCCACCAGAAATAAATTTGAAAAAGACAGTTACTGAGAAAGTTGAGGGAGAGAGAGCATGTGCAAGTGAGTATGCAAATGAGCATGTGTGGACCGTGTCCGGGAGGGCAGTGTGGTCAGGACGGATGGAAGGATCTGATGGGCCACTGCTGTGGGCCTCGGTGGGGAACTTTCATTCACATGAGGTGTGTGGCTGTGCGATATGAATCTGTGCAGGTGAAGCAGTTCTGAGGGGCATGGGCTGAGTGTGACATGTGCATAAAGGGGAACGGAGTCACACAGAGGGTGGGGACAGCTCTGCTTCATCAGAGTAGCCCAGAAAGAAGAGGGGTCAGGGGGGACCCCTCGTGTAGAGGGAGGGGTGCAAGTCACACTCTGTGAGGAAGGAACTGGTGAAAAGAACTGTGAGGCAAAGGAAGGAACTTGGGATGAATTTTAACTCCACGGAGGGTTCACTTGACTCCTTTGGAATTCTTTCCCATAGACGAGGCAGATACAGCCCAGGTCTTGAACTCATCATCCCACTGGACAGACTTCGCTTGGACCGAGAAGATTTCCATGTGTACTGTCCTTTTTTTACACTGAGGCTCAAGCCTGGAAGGAAAGTCTTCTAGACTACAGACTTTCATAGAGCCCTCACTCCGGTTCTATCCCCTGCACTTTCTCCTGCTCTTCAGAATCCCCACGATAAGTTCTAAACCTGCTTTGTGTCGGTTGGTTTCCACTAGGTCCTTATCTTCGGAACAGGATTCAGGCATCGACATGAAGTGTGTGCTAGTAGTCTTGCTGATGGTGACGGGTGAGTGACTGAAGCTATCTCTTTGTCAAGTTGATTGGGACTCTGTGGAGGGAGGGTGAGGCTGTGGTGCTTTAGTAGAGGGAGAGCTGGTGGATCAGAACATGAGAGCTTAGGAAGTGAGTGATATACTAGTCATCTCATGTCCAGGCTTGGCCGTTTGTTGTACCTGAGTAAACCTTTTTATTATGGGCTGGAAACCTCCTCTGAGTTTCTGATGACCTTCTTGGGCTGCAGTATGGAGGCATGCCAGCAGCGAGGATGGAGAGAGGATCCTGGAAGGGGGAATTGGAATTTATAAAAGACATAAAAAGCAAAAACAGCTGATATTTTGCTGTAAGGTTCAAAAGGAAAAAGTAGATCTTGTCCTTTGGGCATTAAAACATAATGTATAGTAATAATCACCACCAGCACCATAAAAGCATATACTTATATAGCACCTATATAATGGACGCTGCCCTGTTTTCTACACATTAACTCATTTCATTCTTATTTACAACTTTGTGAGATAAGTGTTCTAATTTTATCGATGAGGGAACTGAGGCCCAGAGCAATTAAGTAACTTACTATAATGAAATTAGTACAGCTCTGTAATTAGGCAGTAATGCTCTTCTGCTTCATAGTTAAGTGGTTTTGGACAAATAGCCTATCCTCTCTGATCCTCAGTTTTCTTATGCAAAACATGGGAAAATAATGTCTATCTTTTAACAATGCATAATGCTTCCTAAACCTATGTTAGACTGAATGTGGTGAACCACGTTAAGTACGGTAGGGGACCGGGGTTTTTTTGTTCACACAGAGAAACCAGCAGGTGTGAAGGTGGGAGGGGTGACATGATCAGAAGACCACCTGTGCAGCTGGAGTGCAGAAGCAGCAAGTGGAGTGAGAGTCAAACCGCAGAGGGTCTTTCGTCCTTGGTTTTAGAAATGATCCTGGTGGCAATAGAAAGCCTTTAAAGAGTCTTAAATATGGGAGTTACATGACCACATTTATGATTTAATAAGGTTCATGTGACTTCACTCAGCATGATTCTCTTGAGATTTTCCCAAGCTGTGTTCATATCAATAATTTGTTCCTTTTTATTGTATTATTCCATGGTATGGATGCACCACAGTTTGTTGAATTACTCACCCAATAAAGGACATCAATGAATAAATCTGCTACATTAAAAAAAAAAGTTATTGTTGTTCAAGCACAGTTGTCTGCATTTACCCTCCACTCCCCCCACCCCAGCCATCTCCACCTTCCTCCCCTGCTTCTACCTCCCCTTGGTTTTGTCCATGTGTCCTTTATAGTTGTTCCTGAAAACCCTTCCCTCCTTCCCCACCATTATCCCCTCCCACCTCCCCTCTAGTTATTGTCAGATTGTTCTTAGTTTCAATGTCTTTGGTTGTATTTTGCTTGTTTGTTTTGTTGATTAGGTTCCACTTAAAGGTGAGATCATTTTCCCCAATGAGGAAAGGACAGTCTTATCAGTGAAGGTTGTTAGGTAAATGGGATAACCACAGGCAGAAACATGAAAATGGACCCCTTGTCTTACACCACCCACAAAAATGAACTCAAATGGATTAAAGACTTAAACATAAGATCAGAAACAATAAAATTCCTAGAAAAAAAACACAAGGAAGAAGCTCCAAATTGATTTTCAGATGTTGAGAGATAACATTATTGAACATTCATTATATGCCAAACCTTCTTCCAAACAACTTAAATATATTAACACATTTAATTCTCAAAACAACCCTAGGATAGAAGTTTAAGATCTCAGTGTACAAATAAGAAATTAATATATAGAGATTTACATAATTTGTTTAAGTTCATACTAATAGTAATGATAGAATCTCAACGTAGGCACCTATTTTCAGAGAATAAGTATTGTACTGAATTTAAGTGCTCATCTGTACCAAGTATCTCTTCCTACATTCTCACATCAGAATTAAAGTTTAAATTTTCATTTCTGGAGTCATAATAACTGGCCCCAGAACGACCCTACAGTTGATTAATAGGAAAAGTCAAGGAGATGTGGGAAAGGCTGCATTGCTGAGACTGGAAGGAGCCAAGAAATAGTAAGCTCTTAGGAGACTGGACATGAACAAGGATGTCTAGAAAGAAGTAAGGAGGTCATGTAGAGAATAAGTGCATACATGGGATTTGGAATTCGATAGACCAAAGTCTAAATCCTTGAACCAGCCATCATACACTATTTATATGGCCTCAAGGAAGTTTCCTAATGTTAGGTTCTTAATCTGTAAAATAATCTAAAATTGATCCACCCAACAGTTTTTTTGTTCTGTGAAAATTTAAAAAAAAATTTTTTTAAAGTATGGGGCATGCTCAGTACAGTGTTTTTATAGTATGATCTTCTGGCACCATAAAGCATGGTAAATGTTGATATAGTCTGACACTGGCATCCCAAACTCTCCATAACCACCCTGTTCTCTTTGATCAGCTGGAATGTCTCTTGATTCTCTTCTCTTCCTGTTCCAGGTGCTGTTCCATGTGCAGGCACGGGAGAGTTCAATCATATGTTCTACGTATTATATCTGAAGTCTAGTTACCAGCCCTGTGTGGGGACTCTGATTGCCCCTCAGTGGGTCATAACAGCTGCACACTGCTTCTTACCGTGAGTAATGGGGACCAGTCCGCTCTGTTCCAAAGCTCCAAGGCCGGGACTCAACACCCACCCCCTGGGGAGTTATAAATAACCTGTGCTAGTCAGGAAATCCTAGGGCTGTGGTGGCTAACAGGGCCTCAGTTACTCCGATAGAAATGGGCTGAGGAATGCCCCACATTTTTATGTTTAACATGTGCAGAAGGAAAACTACTGTGTATGACATCTTATATATATGTAATAATAATCGCGCAATCATTCTATTAAGATTTATCCACAGTGCTAGGTGTATGACTATATTTCATTTTTTATTGCTGTATAACATTTCAGTGTAAATATCACACAACTTGTTCTTCCTTTTCCTGATAGAGATTTGAGTTATTTCTAGTTTTCTGTCACTGTATTTTGAACATAGTTACTGTAAACATATCTGTACCATGTTTCTTAAGGATATTCTTGTATATACATCTACAACATTTATATGTGTTGGTGTATACATGTATTGGTGTTTATCTACAAGTATTGCTCTAGAGTTATGTACCAGTCATATATACAGTATATACAGTCGTCCTCCTTATCTGTGGTTTTGCTTTTCATGGCTTCAGTTACCTGTGGTCAACTGTGGTTTGAAAATATGAAATGGAAACATTCAGAAATAAGTAATTCATAAGTCAAGGCAAACATACTTGTATTCTAAAATAATTATTTTGTGATCAGACAGTGTGATGTTTATAATACTGTGTTTTTTAATATAATTAAAACTTGCTCTTTGGACCAGTATGGAGTCAATTTTTATAAACCTTCCTCATGTGCTTGAAAGAGTGTATACTCTCTGATCTTAGGGTGGAAAGTCTTAATATGTTAAATGTATTAAACTCTTAATTGTGGAGTCCAAATCTATAATCTTACTAATATTTTCTTGCTTGATATTAACAATTGAGAGAACTGCATTGAAATATTCTCTAGTATTAATAGAATGGTCAAAATAGTTTCATAAGTTTATTAGAGATATATTTCAGGTTATTTTGTTAAGTATCTGTAAATTTAGGTTCATTTATAAATTATGTACTTTGTACCTTCTTGATAATATTGAATATGTTATTATGTTATTGATTTTACTCAGAGAGACAAGTTTTTGTCTTAAAACCTTTTTAGCTAGACATTAACATACCAGCCCTGGTTTTCTTTTGCTTAGTATTGTCCTGGTATATAATTTTACATCTTTTCTTTACATCTTTCTGTATCCTTTTGATTTAAGCATGTCTCTTAATTTACATGTAGCAGGATTTTTGAAAAGTGCTATATTACAATTTATGTCTTTTAACTGGTGAGTTTAGGCCTTTTATATTTATTTTGATTATTGCTATATTTGGACTTGTTTCTGCCTATTATGAATTTCTATTCTGTTTATGTTAATCTGAAAATACTTTTTGCCACTTTACTAGATTAATGTTTTTAGATAACTTTCAAATTTAATTTTTTAGGAATATATGCACGCTATTTCTGTTCCTTTAGCCATTGCTTTATAAATTTTAATATGGTTATTTAATGTAGCAAAGTCTAAAGTTAAACAATATCTTGATGCCTTCCTCATGTCCCTTCTCAGGTATATTCCATCCATATCCCTCAGAGGCAACCATTATTCTGGTTGTTTTTATCCACCATAGTTTATCCACTCATGCTTTTGAGTTGTTTTAAGCCAAAATTTACTCACCATAATTTACCATAATGAGATAGTCATCTATTTATCATGAACTCTCTTCAATATAAACTTCTGTATTTACTTACAAACATATTTTATGGTAAATTAAAGTAAATTCTTAAAAGAAGGGGAAAAGGGAAATAGAGGAAGAAAACAGAAATTGTAACAGGGGACCCATTTTATATAGTTATTAAATTAACACTGTAAACATGAGTGCTTTTCCTTCTACAAGAAAGGAGAGTAATCCTAGAAACAGAAAAGGCCAATTTGACAAACACAGGCATACGAGAGACCTGTTACAGCTGATTTAAACAGTAAGTCAGGCCTAACGATTTCATGATTCCATCATGTTCTGTCATTGAAACGCCAGTCTTTATTAATCCCCCAGGGCATGGAAATGCAGGAGGTGATCCAGTAAGTGCTGTCTGATTTAGATGGTCAGGAGAGAATCTTATCATGAGGGTTTCTTTCCTTTTTGTTCTAAAGTGTGTTCAAATGAACAATCTTGCTCTTGTCAAAAGTTCCCCTAAGGGGCTGCTGCAATTCCCTGTTGTCGCTGGGGAATTACACCATTTAGAGAGGCATTTACATGTTTGCTACTGAGGACCAGACAGACTGAGATGATCCCACAAGAACTACAGCGGTCAGTAAAAACAACTTGGCAAAGACCAGTCACTCACAACTGGGGCCCCGCAAAATCCTTCACCACAAAAAGCAGATGAACATAAAGACAAGGTAAAAACAAGACAAAGGAGAGCTCTTAGAATGTACAGTGTCTTATAAAATTGACCCCGAACAAAGTTCATCTAAAGGATGCTGCTTTGATGAGATCTCCTAAGCTTCTTAGACCATGGGGTTGCCTGAAGGATAGTCTTATTGGGCCCATTCCTGTCTTATCATCTTAGACTGTATTTTATGTACTCTCAATGGAATGACAAGAACACACTGAGAGGCGAGTGGTATTGTTGTTAGGAGACAAAGTAAACTTGGCATTTGGAAGGTTAGCAAACAAATTAGTGCTCAGTTCCCAGTGTGGTACTCAACCTTACTGTCATGGTTGCAGAGATCCCTGAGTCAGAGACCCAGGGGCCTCAGGGAAGTATCCTGTTCTGCATTTAGGGTCCTGAGCCATGGTAGTAAGTGGATATTAAATGGATCTCAGTGGAACATCCAAGATTTTTTACTGTTGTTCTCCTAAAGGACCACCAGAAAAAGTTGTTGATTCAGCAAAGTTTTTATAGCAATCAGTAGAGCATAATTGGGGGGGGGGTCTGCCCACAGGGCCACCTGGCCATCACAGATAAGAATGAGTCTACCAAGACATGATCTTCTTGGGGAGGAAAGGTGGCCAATCTCTCAAAGGAGAAGGGCCAAGAGCCTTTTCCTCAATGGGCTTTTATTGGGATCAATTTGCACAGGAATATAGGTAAAGCTCATTAATCATTGTCAGGCAGTAAGGATCAAACAATAGATAGCATACTAAGAACTATGAGGGCTTATTCTGAGTCAGGGTCTGTTAGCTAAAGGGCTACAAAACTTTGGGAAACAAACTCATTTCCTGCTTGGGCCTTTATCATTTAACTAAGAGCATTCTTAGCAAAGCAGATTTCACAGGATTTTATATATTCTTCCTTAGGCCTGATCACCCTGAGGAACCCACTCTTTCCAGCACAGGACTATACCACCCTCTGTCATTATATCAGGCAGGAAGTAAGGCCGCCAAGAGAATAGGAGACTATTCTATTCGCAGACAGAATGAGGACTCAGGCTATGTCAATGATGAGGGGTGAGGGTCCATCACCCCCTTTTGCTATAGCGCCCCAAGTCCTTCCCTGGAGTCCCCCATGATCATGCCTGTCTTAGGTCATCCCTCCCTTGAGAAATCTTACCCATCATTGGCTAACCCATCATGCATTGGGGCCAAGCAGGGTGAAGTAAAAGGGGCAGAGGTGGTGCCCCACCAGGGAGATAAGCTTTGTCTCCTTTAGTGGCTTATGGTCTGAAGGTTGCTCACTCAGCCTTAGCCATGTGGGGGGTGGAGGGTGGGGGGTTACAGCTTTTGAAACCAGAAAGGGCAGTTCCCAACACATAATATATTCAGATGGTCTTCCCTGGCTTTAAAATATTTCATCTCTCTCTAAGCCATAACCTATTTTCCTTGTACAATCACACATTTATTTTTCGCTCCTACTTTCAAAGAGCACTCTAATAGAATTTACTACTTTCATACAAGCCTTGACTATGTATTTGCATGCTTCTTTCATCTTTCTTGGTCTGGAATTGGAGCTACTCTCTGGAATTACTCGAAGAGCAGAGCCCAAGCCATTGCACTGATTGACTGCTCAATTTGTAGAGTACACAACCTACATGACCACCTGTGATAGCTACACATAAAAGGCCAAATGGACAGAGATAAGAAGAGAAGGTCAAATGGGTTATTATAGAAGAAAAACGGTGTGCATGTGTTTGAGTGTGTGTGTGGAAGAGAGATTAGCCTCATGATGTATGACAGCATCAAATTTTTTTGTGTGTCCATTTTCCAGAGATCTTCAGGTTATCTTTCATGGTGGTTATCGAAGTTTCCAAGACACTACTGGGGAGATGATACCTTATAAGAAGATCTTCATTCACCCAAACTTCACTGTTACATCTCCAAAAAGTGACCTGATGCTGATAAAGTTGTCTGTGCCTCTCACCTTCTTCTCCAATGACACTTTGCATTTACCTGCTCTCCTGAATGATGAGGTTAAAGATTGCATGATTCACACCTGGTTACAGACTACAGATTTTTTTGGTGAGTGGCTATCGAAAGGAAGAGTTAGTTGTGTTCTTAGGTATATTGCATCTTTAGGCTCTCTGAGGAATTAGGGGAAGGACTTGAAAATTGGAGGCCTGGTGCCAGATTTCTAAGCACAGGTGTGAAGCTGAAATAGAGCAACACTATTGGCTGTGTAAAGTAGAAGGGTGATCTCCTTTAAGCCTTTGGGAATCAAATCCTAAATCGAGCTGTTACGTGTATGTATCACATTGGCACACGCCGCAGAGGGCTGGGATCCTGGGGTCTACATTTGAATATTGGTTCTGCCATTTATGATAGGGTTATTGACACATCACTTAACTTCTTTGAATCTTAATTTGAAAATTTGTGAAAGTCCTATTTTCCTTTTGCCTAACAGGAGTGATATTGTGATGATTACATCAATAATAACTACCATTTTTTGAGCACTAATTATGTACTAGGCACTAAGTCCCCTGTACATATTATTCAGTTGTTATCATGTAGATGTGTTATTGGGGTATATATCTTTTAAAAAATATTTATTTATTTTTAGAGAGAGGGGAAGGGAAGGAGAAAGAGCAGAATAGAAACATCAATGTGTGGTTGCCTCTTGTGTGTCCCCTACTGGGGACCTGGCCTGCAACCCAGGCATGTGCCCTGACTGGGAATTAAACCAGTGACCCTTTGCTTTACAGGCCTGTGCTCAATCCACTGAGATATACCAGCCGGGGCTAGGGTATATATCTTTTAATTGAGAAAATCAACACTCGAAGATTAACAAATTGTCCAAGGCCATCACCTTGGTGATGGCATAGCTTGGATTCAGATCTTGCTTGCTGTCTCTTTACCAACCACCCCTGGAGGCTGCTGGCCCATTAGCGATGATAGACTGAGCAGGAGGATGTGTTTAATTCATGGGATTTCCACTAGTTCTTCCCCTGAGTCCATTTCAACTGAGGAGAAGCCCTGAGGGAGGCGGGGGCAGCATGCCTTATGATAATGCAAACCGGAATGAAAATCTCTTGTTTCTCGCGCTTAGGAAATACAGTCAGCACCCCATACAGCATGCGAACTCAACTGAATCCTCATTTAAACTGCAGAAGATTACTGGATGGAAAATTCCTTCCAGACATGTTCTGTATGGGAAACACACTAGGCAGCAGGGATCCATGCCAGGTACCTTTCCTTATCTCATTTGTCCATAGGCTCCGTAGCTCTTTTCTGTCTTTGTGTCTGTTACCTGTCATCCTTCACCAAGGGTATGGGATTTACAGTTAGTTTAGAGCTCAGAGAGAGAGGAGCTGAAGACAGTGCAAAGCTACCTGCCAGCTACTGCTTTGAAATGTCTGTCTGGGGACTGCTGGGAGGTGGGGGCAGTTAGTGCAGTGGAAAGGAGCTGTCACATACTTCCTTATATGCTGGGCTCCTTTGCATGGCAAAGAGAGTGGCTCTGATTTTTGTTCGGGTGTTGAGCGATCCTCAGGTGGGAGGGAAGTTCTGATCTCCTCTACTCCGTCTGGCAGGTGGTCGCCGCTGCACCTGCCATATGTGGCAGTGAATTACAAGGAGTTATGTCCTGGGCAACAGGATGTATTCTGACAGGACACACCATGGTCTTCACTGACCTCCACAGCTACAGTCCGTGGATCAAGAACATCATTTCCACAAAATAAGCTCACCTCATGCTCCACTGACGCCCTCACACACCAGCCGACCTGTGGCCACTCCATGCGTGTCTCCATCCCAGGCTTCCCTGGACCTGGGCTGGACTGGAGTTTCAAAAGAGATCAGCGCTGACTCCTGGGTGTTGTCATGGCTCTGGTTTCTTTAACTGCTTGCTTGCTTCCCCCCAACCCGTGTGAGTGAGTGTTTATAACACCAAAAACATAAATGTTGGTTTCACGAAGTGGAAGCCACCCAGGAAGCTTTTGGGATTCTATTAGCTCAGATATGTCTTTTAAAATATTATCTGCTTTATCCTAAAAACAAAAAGGACAAGTAGAAATGAGGGGCAATAAGCTACCAGGATTCTATTGGGGCAAGATTATAAACCACATACCGCACGGCTGAACAGTGATTTGCTGAAAATTGATTAGATGTTTTAGCAATTCTTTTAAAGACCTTTCCTGGTTCAGCGTGAGTGTGTGTGTGTGTATGTGTTTGTGTTTGTGTCTATGGGTGGTTGTAGTGGTTTTCATTAGCTACTTAAAAGATCTATAGAACTCAGGTTTTGCTTACGTTTGCTGAGGCTACACCAAGGTCAGTGCAACCACAGCGGTAAAGCAGATCCCTCGTTCTGAAGATCACGATGCATGTCTGTATATATCAAGGAGCATTGGGATTTTCAGTTGCCAAAACTTTTCTAGAAATGAGGATCTGGGGGATTTCTTGTTTATTCATTCACACATTTATTTCTCTCTTAACAAAAACTTACTGAAAAATTACACCATGTTAAAAAGTGCACCGAACCTGTATGAAGACTAGAAAAGTGAATCCTGTCCCTGAACGGAACTATGAATTAGAAGCCACATAATTAGGACGAGACATAGTCACAGGTACCTGTAGTGCAGTGCTGAGCCTGCAAAGTTCTGGAGGGAAGGTAGGTACAGAGCACTTGGGCACTTCCAGAGAGGAAGGGATTATAGCTGGGAGGAAGAACAGCTTACTCGAAAGAGCTAGTCCATAAACTTCAGGTACAATATTAATGGACAAAGCTGGGCGGAGAGGGCATTCTGAGAGTCAGCAAAGTCTGAATTCAGGGAGATGGGGGCAGCATTGGGTAAGTAAGCATTTGGCAAACAGTAAACAGTCCAGAATGGGGAGAGTCAGGGTAAGTGAATGCAGAAGATTAGGTGCATATAACGAGGGTGGGTTTGGGTCACAGGGTGTAGGCTTAAAGGGGTGTAGACTTAATGGGGCATAGGCTGAGAGGCCCCAGAACCCCCCACGTCTCACTTGGGGGCTGGGAAAAGCAGCAGCACAGGGATTGAGAGTTATTTTGCACATCAATGATGGCAGACTAGCCTGTAGTCTGTGTGGAGCCAGGAAGGTATTTATGACTTTAACCCCTGATGTGGCTCAGGAGCAGCTCCTAGGTTACAGCGCCTGTGAGACAGCTTGGAGCTGGTTTGCCCCAAGCCACCGCAGGGCCACACCTGCCCGAATAAGTATGGCGGCCAAAAAAGGCAGAAAAAAATACGGGAGTGCTGGCAGGTGTAGCCGATTGTGGGAGGAGTCGGAAATGGGGTTATGAGGAAGAGCCTTGCCTGGGATTTAAACCCTGGTAAGGCAACCATGTGGAGACTTAACCACACGGTTTTAGGAGCAGAGAGGGGGCTCCTTTAACCATGTGGCTTAGGAAGCAGGAAAGCAAGATGCAACAGCGTGCAGAGCCCTCTCTTAGCTGTTTGAAAGAGTGCAGAAGAACTCCCTGGCTCACCACGAAGACGCGGTTTTGGATTAACAACGTGAGCCTAGCCAAATTCAGACTTCTGCTTTCTTTTCCTGAGATAGGATACCCCTGACTGGCCTGGTTTGGCAAGGGGAGGCTGGATTGTGTGTGTGTGTTTGTGGGTGTTTTAAAGTCCCCTAAAGGGACTTTAGGCTTTAACAGCGAGATTCTGCCATTACTTTAACTGGTATAACTTTTGAGTAACTAGTTCCTTTACTTTTCACTAAACTCTGGCATTGAGACCCACAATTCCTAACACTCAGTGGCAGGCAAAGACAATATTAATGGACACAGCAAAAAAAAAAAAAATGACCTCGGGGGAGGTGGGCTTGTTACAGCTGTATGATAGAAGCAATAGGTTATTCTTACGGTATTTGACATTTGCTCATCTCACTGGTTTGTAGGAGGGGTTGTCGCTAAACACTCCTGACCTCTTACTCTACCCCATCCTCTACTCCTAAAGGGAGGTAGACAGCTCTGTCTGTTTGATGAGTCCCAGGCAGAAACCAAGCTCATCCCCTTTTCCCTCCCTTCTCTGGCTCCTCTGAGAGATGATGCCCTAGCGCCCCATTGTGTGGGTGTTGCAGGGGCAGAGCTGCAAAAAGGTGGGCTCCGAGCCATGGAGGAGGAGGGGGGAAGCCAGCAGGTTTTATTTCTGCCTGAGGTGCATTGATCCCACCTATCCAAGCCTTGCATTTCAGCCAATTTTTATCAGTGATAGGCTGCAATATATTTATTTATATGCACCTGTTTATCTCCATCAGTCTCTTCCCCTTTTATGGGTGTTCTTGAGATGTGTCATCACAAGACATAATCCAAAAGTGTCAGTTTCCTATTAGCATAGAGCAGAATGAACCTTAGGCAGCCTCTGAAGGCCGAGGGATGGATGGATAGACACCCCCACCCTTCCCTTCCCTCTGTGAGCAGCCTTGAACCTGCCCTCAAAGGAGTAGGCTGTCAGAGAAAGCAGTTTTCTCTGTTCTGTCTGCCTCCGTCTCCCCGACAAATCATTTTGCCAAAGTTAGAGATGAGAAATGGTATCTCATGTAATTTTAATGTGAATTTCTCTTAAAATGAGTGAAGCTGAACATTATATTTGTAAGGAATGTTTGTTTATTTCTACTGCTTATTTTTATCAGCTTTTTGGTCTATTTTCTTGATTTTAAGAGGATTTTATAGATATTAATATTAGCTTTTTATTTGTGATATATGAGGGGGCATCCCCCTTCCGAACTAGAATTTATTTATAAAATGTGTATTTATTCTTACATGCTTAAACTTCAGTCACCTTCAGAGTACTCTCCGTTTGACACAATACACCTATGGAGGTGTTTTTCCACTGCTCAACACAGTTTTTAAATTATTGATTTTGATGCCTTTTAGTGCTTCTGCCATTTTTTGTTTCACCTCTCCCGCATCGGTAAGATGTTTCCCTTTGAGAAATTTTATCATCTGGGGAAACAAACAAAGTCGGTCCAGGTGAGATGGATAAATAGGGAGGATCTGGCACGGGGCATCTGGGTCACATGCTGTTTTTGTTCAAAAACTGCTGACCACTCAGTGCAGTGTGGGCAGGTGAGCTCGTAAATCACCCATCAGGAAATGGGCAAATGTGTTGAAAGAGTTTTCAAAAAAATTCACTGAAGCCAAATGCAGCCTCTCACAACAATACCAGCTGGTGCACTGACACAGACGGGTTCCTAGAACACTCACCTAGTCAGGGAAGCCTGTACTGCAAGGGGCCCACCGTCCAGAAGATAATTCCATTTTGGGGAGGCCCCCCTAGTACTTTACCAATATTTTCTCCAATTTTATCATTTGTGTTTGACTTTGCTTAAAGTTATTTTGACAGGCAAAAGTCAAACTTTAAAACCTTTTTCTGTAGTCAAATCTGTCATTTCTTTTATGCTTCTAGATTTTGTATCGCAGTGAGAAAATCTTTTTGTACTCTCAAATTTAAAGGAAATTTACCAGTTTTTTTTCCATTTTCAGGTTTTACATTTAGCCCTCATATCTGTTTGGAGCTTACTCTAGGATAAGATATATGGGAAAAATTCACTCAATATCTATTATACACCAAAATGAAACCATTTGTATAGGATATCTTTGAGTCTAATAATTTCAAAGTTTGTAGGTTCTAAGGGATCTTCTGGGACAATTTATTATTTACAGAAAATGCTCTACAAAACAGTATTTTGTATTAACAACGAACACTAGTCCAGGAGTCTGGAGACCCTCATCATTAAATCTGTTTTGCTATTCAATTGCTGTGTGACCTTAAGTTATGAAGCAATATGTTCCCCCTCATATTCTCCAATATTAGATATTGCCTATCATACATTTCAAAGACTTCCTTATCTACATCTGTAACTCAAATGCTTCCCGATTTCAGAACTTAACTGCAAATCTTCAATAATCAAAATACTAGTACAAACATATGGATAGACATATAGATCAATAGAACAGAATTGAGAGTTCAGAGAAAGAAACTCATGGGCAATCGATGATTTATTTGTTCATTCTTTGTTATTTTTTTTAAAGATTTTATTTATTTATCTTTAGAGGGGAAGGGAAGGAGAGAGGGAGAGAAATATCAATGTATGGTTGCTCATGCATCCCCTGCTGGGAACTGGCCTGGGAACCCAAGTATGTGCCCTGACTGGGAATCGAACTGTGATACTCTGGTTTGCAGGCCTGCGCTCAAACCACTGAGCTATACCAGCCAGGGCTCACATTCTTTATCTTTCATTGTTGATACTATTACAGTTGTCCTGATTTTGCCCACCTGCACCCAGTCCCTGCTCACCCCCTCAGGCCATCCCCACACCATTGTTCATGTCCATGGGTTATGCATGTATGTTCTTTGGCTAATCCCTTCACCTTCTTTTTTCCAGTACCCTCTCCTCTCTGACAGCTGTCAGTCTGTCCCATCTATCCATGCTTCTGTTTATATTTTCATGAATTTATTTTGTTTATAAGGTTCCACATAAAAGTAGATCAAATAATATTTGTCTTTCACTGACTGGCTCATTTCACTTAGCGTAATACTATCCAGGTCCGTCCTTGCAGTTGCAAAAGGTCAGAGTTCCTTCTTCTTCTTTTTTTATTGCTGTGTAGTATTCCATTGTGTATCCACCCATTTACTGATGGGCACTTGGGCTGTTTCCAGACTTGGCTATTGTAAATAATGTTGCATTGAATGTATGGGTGCATATATTCTTT